TGGCTATAAACAATTACACACCATTAAATACAGTGCTTTGTAAATGTAGGAAATCAGTTTGAGCCCAGGAGTGAAGGGCACCTCTAATCCCTCAATCAAGAGCCTTACCAGCACAATGGTCCCTCTTCCCCATGCATTGAACCACGCTCACTCGCTTGCATCAAGATCCACAGCACCAACCAATTCCCGAGGCTAAAAATAATAAATTTATTTCTCTTCCGTAGGTCACAGGTCCGGTTACAGACTGGCGGTGGGGGGGGGACCCCCGAAAAACCCTCTCCATTTAAGTCATGCGCTGCAAAACAAACGTTTTGGTCACTGATGGACCCATATACATAAGAACATAAGAAAACATAATAACGAAGGAACACTGCAAAGGCCTACAGGCCCAAGCGAGGCAGGTCCCAAGTCTCCTACCGCTTAAGCCAATCACCCAACCTATTCAGGTCAGTCACATGACTTAAAGGGAGGAACACGGCAACCGACCTGGTAGCAGCAAGCTATCAGGTCAAACTCACAAGCCCACCCACATCCACTCATGTATTTATCCAACCAATTTTTAAAGCTACACAACGTTCTGGCCTCTATAACGGTACTTGGGAGTTTGTTCCACTCATCCACAACTCTTATTACCCAAACCAAGTACTTTCCTATATCCTTCCTGAATCTGAAATTTTTCCAAATTAAAACCATTTGCGTGGGGGGCAAGTCCTGTCTAAGCTAGATAATATTTTTCAGCACACTATTTACATCCCCTTATTTATTCCTGTCCTTCCATTTATACACCTCAATCATATCCCTCCCTAATTCTATCTACGTCTTTTCAAGAGAGTGCAGATTCAGGGCCTTAGTCTATTACCTCATAGGGAAGTTTCTGGATACATGGGATCAACTTTGTCATCCTCCTTTGTACATTTTCCAGAGAATTTATATCCATTCTGTAATAAAGGTGACCAAAACGTGCGCATAAATCTAAATGAGGCCTAACCAGGATGTATAGGAGTTTGAAGAACAACTGAGGACTCCTATTAATTATGCTTCTTGAGTATGAAGCCAAGGATCTATTAGCTTTATATTGCAACACTATGCACTTTGTCTGATTCAGATTAAACTGCTAACCAAACTCCTAAATCTTTTTCCGGCAATCTGTAATATTAAGATCTACATTATTTAGTTTTATATGTGGCATGTTATGTGTCCTGTCCAACATATAGAACTTTGCATTGGTCTAATTAAACAGCATCCTGCCACTCTCCGACCACTGCATCAGCTATTCAATCTTCTGGAGTGCTCGGAATTGTCCCCGTCAGAATGAATTCGACGGCTTTTTTGGTGTCATGTCGCAAACTTGCCGATCGCACTTTAGCCCTCAATCTATGTCATGTTTATTAGATTGTGGACAGCAGGGGCCCAACACTGACCCCTGTGGAACTACCGCTCGTGACACTTCCCCACTCTGATTTCTCCTTTTTTGGGCGGGCCCCTAAATTTCACAAACTGCAGCATTGTTCCAGGTTTTTTTTTGCAAGATCCTTGAAAATGCCTTGCCTTCTCAAAAAATGCGATCCAAAAACCTGTCTCCCACAAATTTTTTTTTCCCTTAACCACAAAAATAATTTTTTCCATCTTTTACATTTATCGGTGTCCTTTGTTTATTTTAAAAAAGTTACTCCTTTTGCAACTTTTAGCATCTCTGATTTGTTTTTCTTTCCCAGGAGGGTGTAATTTTTTGATTTATTCTTGCTGTTAACCCTGGAAAGTTCCACCCCCTTCATCCCGCTCCCCAATTTTTTTGTATCCCCTTAATGTTTAAAATTTTCCACACCCGTTTTTCACTTTCTTTCCCACGGAACTTTACTAAAAACTTTCTTTGGAGCCTTTGGTTATTTTATTTCACAGTTGCACGGCCAGGGAAAAACCCAAAATTAAAAACAAGGGGTAAAAAGTGAAATTTTTTAAAATGTATGAGCAAAAGCTTCCTAACGCATCAAAAGGGAACACACCCAAAAAATTTAAACCCCCGGGACCCCATTTTCCCAGCCAGCGGACGGATGGGGCCAAAAAGGGTCGATCCCCCAAAATTGGCCGATCCCCCGGGACCCGGGGAAAAAAAAACTACCCCGATCACCGATTTGGGGCCGATAGCGGGAAAAGGGCCCGAAACCGAGGGCCCCCAACGGGCATATGCTTGTACATGAGTATAGTGGGGCCCCTAAGTTTTAAGTAGAATTTGAAAGGGACGTCCCTGAAATTTGCATGTTTATGAGAAAAAAAAAAAAAGACACAGAAATTTCCCCCATCATGTGAACAATTACAGGCTTCGGGTTTTCCCCTCATTTGGGCAGGACGGTAGTACAGGGGGCCCCTGAGTTTCAGCAATAACCCGTTCCAAAAAGGCCCCTTTTTAAGTCCCGGGTTACCGAAGGGAATTTGCCCCCTAAGGAAAAATGTAAATTACATTGGGTCCGTTTCAGCCCCCAAAAAAATTACACTTAAAAAAGCACTGAAAAACCTTTACATTTTGGAAAAAAATTCTTAGAGTTGGGGCTGACGAAACTCGGGGGTACCACGGGACCTCCGGGTTTTTTGTGTTAAAAAACCTATTAAAAAGGATGGTAGTAACCCCCCTGGGGGGTTGCTGTTTTACCAACCCTATTTACCCAAGGTCGTATTTAAACCCCCCTGGGTGGTTGCTTTTCTTCCTAACCTCCTCCCACGGGGGAAAAAGGGTGTACCCTCCCTGGGTGGTTGTTGTTTCCCAAATATTTCCAAACAGGAGGGTAGTACCCCCCCTTGGGGGGGGTTTGCTGTCTCCCAACCCCTATTACCACAGGGGGGGGTGTACCTCCCGGGTGGTTGCTGTTTTCCAACCTATTTACCACAGGATTTTTTGTACCCCCGGGGGTGGTTGCTGTCTAAAAACCCTTTCTACCAAAGAGGGGTTATTACCCCCCCCGGGGTTTGGTTTGGTTTGTCTCCCCAACCTACTACCACAGGAGGGTTTTGTCCCTCCCCCTTGGGTGGTGCTGTTACAAAACCTATTTACCAAGGAGGTAGTCCCTCCCTGGGTGGTTCTTTTCCAACTTACCACGGAGGGTAGTACCTCCCTGGGTGGTGCGGGTTTTACTAACCTACTCCCAAACGGGACGGAAATTACCCCCCGGGGGGTTGCTGTTCCAACCTACCCCACGGGGAGGGTTTAAGTACCCCCCGGGGGTGGTGCTGTCTACTAACCTATACCACGGGATGGAAAGTACCTCCCTGGGTGGTTGCTGTCTACAAACCCTATTCCCCAAAAGGGGGGGTTATTTACAAAAAACAAAAATAGAGGAAATCAGCTCAAAATTTTTAAATTTTTTAGGTAGGGAATTTCTGGTCAGGGGAGCCCATCTTAAGTCTGGGGGCGTCAGTCAATGAGTACATCGCTAGTGAGGGAGGCTGTTTAATTTGGAATGTTATGTATGTTAATCGTATATCATGCACAATATTTGGGGGTAAATGTTATGAAAGGTTATTACATGGGCATGCAAAAGTAATAGGAGGAATTTTTGGGTTAAGAACATTTAGGGTTTTAAAATTTTGAGAAGTGGAGGGGGGGGGGGAAGTTTTGGGTGTGTTGCCCAATTTGTTTGAGGATTTGAACGCAGTTTTTGTTAAGTTTTTTATTGGCTTTAGGTGATTTGTTTGTAGCAGTTTCCCCCGGGAAACCAAAACATTTAAAAGAGAGGTTCGATAGATTAGGCCCTGTGGCCTTGGTTTGGGGCCTTTAACTCTCGCTTCACCCCCTGGGGGTTTCCCCGGTGCGTTTCCCCGGCAAAGGTAAAAACCCATGGGGTTTTTCCTTACCCCTGTTGCCCGGGTTCCCCAAAAAAAGTGGGGGTACCTGGGTCCCTTTTAAATTGGAGTATTCGGGAGAGGGTTTCGGGGGTAAATTTGGCCCCCTGTGGCCGGGTTTTGTGCCCGGGGCCTCGGGTGGATTGGCCCTGATTCAAAGGCGGGTTTTGGGGGCCGCACAAAACCCAAGGGAAAAAACCCAAAGCCGGGGGGTCAATTTACTGACTTTAGGTCCCTGCCCAGTCCCTTTTTAAAAGACGGGTCAGGGGTCTTTTGGGTAAATTTACCCCCCTTATGTTTGCGGGGGAGGAAACGGAACAGTTTTGGGGCCCCCTGACACTTATTGTGTTGTAGCTTATCGTCCCTTGTGGCACCCCTGTTTTTTCTTTGGGGGGAAATGTTGCATGTCGCCGAGTCTTTTGCTTTCTTTGGGGGAGTGATTTTCGCGTGAGTTTTGGGATAATCCCCTGGGATTTTCCAAGTGTAATAATCCCTGTAAACTTTTCCCTCTTGCTTCTAGGGAGTACAGGTTTTTAGGAAGTGTTCCTTTTTAATTGAGGGGGGTTTTTTTTTGCAAATTTTTGTGTGCCCCTGAAGGTTCTCTGTACATTTTAAAGGGCAGCAATTTTCCCCGCCTTGAAAGGTTTCGTTAGTGGCGGGAATTTTCCCCGCCTAGATAGAACAAGTGACCTGAAGAGTGTCATCATGGGCTTGGCATCCCTAGTTTTGAAGGTTCTCATTATCCATCCTGTCATTTTTCTAGCAGATGCGATTGATACAATGTTATGGTCCTTGAAGGTGAGATCCTCCGACATGATCACTCCCAGGTCTTTGACGTTATTTTTTCGCTCTATTGTGTGGTTGGAATTTGTTTCATACTCCGATATAGTTTTAATTTCCTCACGTTTTCCATATTGGAGTAATGGTGTGGGTTGCATCCTGGGGGACAAGATTGAGGACCACAATGGAAATAAGACAGACAGTCCTCGATGATGCACTGACTTTCTTGGGTTATCCTGGGTGGCTGACCCTCTGGGGTTAAAAATCCAAATAAAATCTTATACAACATAAACCATGGAACTAGGAAATCAGATTTATAAGTATATTATTGATTTTTCAAGAAAGGCATCCTGGACTGGCATAATAGTACACTATAAGAGACTCACTTGAAGGCACCATTGGAGAGGTGATCCCAGCGCTCACGACCTATCCAGGCCTCACTGGAGGGTAAGGGAGCCACCACCCACATGTCCAGGTCCAGGTATATACCACCCACCGAACACACTACACCCAGCCTCAACGCATCCGACAGGTTGATCCCCGCCCAGTCTGAAAACACATATACACGTTTATATATATGTACAGGTGCTCCTTGACTTACAATATACGTACAGTGGTACCCTAAGTTTCGTACAGCTCCCAACTCGAACAATTATGTAAGTGTATTATTTTAAGTGTTTTTGTAAGTGTATTTTTGGGGGTCGGAAATGGATTAATCTAATTTACATTATTCCTCATGGGAACAAATTTGTTTGGTAACGGCACTCGAACAGCCTTGGAAATTAATTATGGCCGAAACTCGGGGTACCAGTGTACTAACTGATTAGAAGTTGTTTTGGCTGATTTGGTTAGTATTGAGAGATGAAATGATTTTTAAGAAATCCTAAATTTATTAGTCAGGGGATCCTTTATTGGTTCAGGTAGTGAATTCCAGATCTTTGGGCCCTTTATATGCATAGCATTTCTGCATAGTGCGAGACTGACACGAGGGATGTTGACAAGTGCCTTATGCCTTGCATTGTGACTGTGTTCTGTTGTAGCTATCAAGGAGAAGTTCAAGCGAAGGGGTCATATTGAAGTATAATGTTCTGTATATGTAGGCACATTAATATGAGTGTATGTCTTGTATACAGTGGACCCTCGCCTAATGAACGCATCGCATAACGTTAAATTCACCTAACGATACATTTTAACGTTAACTTTTTCCTCGGCTAACACTAAAAAACTCGCCTAAAAATATTCGTTCTCGGGTAACAATTAATATCGTTAGGTGAGGGTCCACTTTAGCAAGTTCAGGCTTTTGAAAAGTGGTGGGATGTGTTGTCTAGCACAGGAAGTGGTTATCATCCGCACAACAGCTTTTTATTGGGTTATTAAAGGTTTAAGGTGGTTGGCTGTGGTTGATCCCCAGGCACAAATACCATAGGTGAGGTAGGGATATATTAAAGAGTGGTATAGGGTAAGGAGTGTCGTTTTGGGTACATAGTATCGTATCTTGGAAAGGCTGCCTACTGATTTGGAAATTTTCTTGGATATATGCTGGATGAGGGAATAAAATTTAAGATTACAGTCAAGGAGAAGACCTAAAACTTTACCCTCAGTGTGTCTTGAAATAGGGGAAGTATTTATCAATATATTAAGTTGGATATTTAAGGCTCTGTTTCCAAACAGCTTAAAGTTTGTTTTGTCTATATTGAGAGTGACTTTGTTGGTCATCATTTAAGTATGTATTTTTAGAAGCTCATTGTTTACAGTGTTTCTAAGTACAGTGGACTCCCGCTTAACGATCACCTCCAAATGCGACCAATTATGTAAGTGTATTTATGTAAGTGTGTTTGTACGTGTATGTTTGAGGGTCTGAAATGGACTAATCTACTTCACAATATTCCTTATGGGAACAAATTCGGTCAGTACTGGCACCCGGGTTTGAGTGGGAGTTGACGTAAGTAGTGTCATCTGTGAACAGAGCTGGTTTAAGGAGTTGAGATGCATTGGGGAGATTACTGATGTAGATGAGAAAGAGGCATGGGCCTAGGACACTACCCTGGGACACTCCGACAGCTACAGGCTGGGTAGTGGAGTCAACTCCATTTGCGTATACATACTGGTGTCTATCGTTAAGATTTTGTGTAATCAAGGGAATGTCCTCTGATGTCATAATGATTTTACTTTTATGTGCAGGAGATTGTGGTCCACTGTTTCAAATGCTTTCCATAGGTCAATGAAGAGCCCCAGAGAATATTCATTTTTATCAAGGGCTGTATACAATAGTTCAAACATTTGTGTAATAGCATCATTGGTGCTTTTGTTTTTTGGTCTCAACTCAAACTGGCATGGGTTGAGTATGTTGCTGAATATAAGGTAGGAGTAAAGTCGTTTGTGTATTGTTTTTTGAATATTTTAGAAAGTAAGGGCAGGTTTGATATAGGTCTATAGTTGTTCAAATCAGTTGCCGGCAGCAAGGTGCTAGAAACACTTCTCCTGTACAAATTACTAAATGTAAAAAGAAAAACTTTCGCATTTCTTTTCGGGTCACCGTGCCTCGGTGGGAGACAACCAGTATGTTGAAATAGAGAGAGTAGTGAGTGTACACAAGTATTCTTTTCCACAAGACAAGTATTCTAACCCCAGTTCTAATCAGACTACCATTCCCTGAGCCCCTCCTGTATCAATCTTCTGGAGCTGCCCCTGTGCATAAAGTCAGTTCTTGTAAAACTACTCAGCCCATGATGACACTCTTTAGGTCACTTGTTCTATCTAGACTGGAATATTGCTGCACATTAACACCACCTTTCAAGGCAGGTGAAATTGCTGACCTAGAAAATGTACAGAGAACCTTCACGGCACACGTAACTGCGATAAAACACCTCAATTACTGGGAACGCTTAAAGTTCCTGAACCTGTACTCCCTAGAACGCATGCGGGAGAGATACATGATTATATACACTTGGAAAATCCTAGAGCCGTCTCCCACCGAGGCAGAGTGACCCAAAAAAGAAAGAAAATCCCCAAAAAGAAAATACTTTAATCATCATACAACACTTTCACCTCACTCACACATTATCACTGCTTTTGCAAAGGTGCTCAGAATACAACAGTTTAGAAGTACAGTGGACCCCCGACTAACGATATTATTTCAATCCAGAAGTCTGTTCGGGTGCCGTTATAGACCGAATTTGTTCCCATAAGGAATATTGTGAATTAGATTAGTCCGTTTCAGACCCCCAAAAATACACGTACAAAAGCACTTACAAAAATACACTTACATAATTGGTCGAGTTGGGAGCTGATCGTTAGTCGGGGGTCCACTGTATATACGTATAAAGATACACAACATATCCCTCCAAACTGCCAATATTATTATTATATTATTATTATTATTATTATAATAAAAAAGAAGCGCTAAACTACAAGGGCTACACAGTGCTGCAGGGCAGGAAGGAAGCGAGGGTATCAGGTGGCAAAAGGGAGATGGGTAATAGATTATGGAGAACAGCGGGGCATGTACAGTGATAGACTAGGTACGGATGGACACATTAGGATGTGTTTCCTTAAGACACCTACTGCCCATGTTCACCCATCAGTAAAATAGGTACCTGGGTGTTAGTGGACTGGTGTGGGTCGCATCCTGGGACACTGACCTAATTTGCAGGAAATGCTCAGCATAACAAGCAGTTTTCTATATAGTAGTATGTAATTGATGTCAGCTATGGTCTGTATACCTTGTACATGTACTTGTAGAAATAAAGACATTATTATTATTATTATTATTTTTTGTTTCAACAAACCGGCAGTATCCCACCAAGGCAGGGTGGCCCAAAAAAGAAAAACGAAAGTTTCTCTTTTTAAATTTAGTAATTTATAAAGGGAGAAGGGGTTACTAGCCCCTTGCTCCCGTCGCCTCTTACAACACGCACGGCTTACGGGGGAAGAATTCTGTTCCACTTCCCCATGGAGATAAGAGGAAATAAACAAGAACAAGAACTAGAAAGAAAACAGAAGAAAACCCAGAGGGGTGTGTATATATACGCTTGTACATGTATGTGTAGTGTGACCTAAGTGTAAGTAGAAGTAACAAGACATACCTGAAATCTTGCATGTTTATGAGACAGACAAAAGACACCAGCAATCCTACCATCATGTAAAACAATTACAGGCTTCCGTTTTACACTCACTTGGCATGACGGTAGTACCTCCCTGGGTGGTTGCTGTCTACCAACCTACTACCTAAGATTATTATGTCATCATCGTTGTTCAGTATATTTATGGACTGAGTTGTAAGAGAAGTGAATGCTTGGGTGTTGCCAAGAGGTGTGAGGTTAAAGGATAAAGAATCTAACACAATGTGGGAGTTGTCACAGTTGCTCTTTGCTGATGGCACTGTGCTTTTGAGAGATTCTGAAGAGAAGTTGCAAAAGTTGGTTGATGAGTTTGATAGGGTATGTAAAAGTAGGAAATTAGAAGTGAATATAGGAAAGAGTAAGGTGATGAGGGTAACAAAAAAATTAGGTAACGGAAGATTGGATATCATATCGGAGGGAGAGTGTATGGAGGAGGTGAATGTATTCCGATATTTGCGAGTGGACGTGTCAGCAGATGGGTCTATGAAAAATGAGATGAATCATAGAATTGATGAGGGGAAAAAGGTGAGTGGTGCACCGAGGAGTCTGCAGAGACAAAGAACTTTATCCATGAAAGCAAAGAGTGGAATGTATGAGAGCATAGTTATACCAACACTCTTGTATGGATGTGAGGTATGGGTTGTGAATGTTGCAACAAGGAGAAGGCTGGAGACAGTGGAGATGTCATGTCTGAGGGCAATATGTGGTGTGAATATAATGCTGAGAATTCGTAGTTTGGAGATTAGGAGGAGGTGTGGGATAACCAAAACTATTATCCAGAGGGCTGAGGAGGGGTTACTGAGATGGTTTGGACATGTGGAGAGGATGGAATGAAACAGAATGACTTCGAGATTATATAAATCTGTAGTGGAGGGAAGGTGGGGTAGGGATCAGCCTAGGAAAGGTTGGAGGGAGGGGGTAAAGGAGGTTTTGTGAGCGAGGGCTTGGACTTCCAGCAAGTGTGCGTGAATGTGTTAGATAGGAGCAAATGGAGACAAATGGTTTCTGGAACTTAACGTGCTGTTGGAGTGTAAGCAAGGTAACGTTTATGGAGGAATTCAGGAAAACTGGCAGGCCAGACTTGATTCCTGGAGATGGGAAGTACAGTGCTGACACTCTGAAGGAGGGGTGTTAATGTTGCAGTTTTATAACTGTAGTGTAAGCACGCCTCTGGCAAGACAGTGATGGAGTGAATGATGAAAGTTTTTCGTTGGTGGGAAACAGCCAATGTGTTAATAAATAAAATAAATATTATTATTATTATGGAACATATTAAAACATGAAGCATGACTCACAAAATCGTAACGACACGATTCCAAACAAACCATAACAAGGATGGGGTTAGAACCCGCGATCTGGAGTTTACCTGGAGAGAGTTCCGGGGGTCAACGCCCCCGCGGCCCGGTCTGTGACCAGGCCTCCTGGTGG